CCCAGGACAAGTCGATGAATGCTGAAATCTTTCCCCTCTGGTCTGTAACAGCAATATATGGTCACCATGAAAATTAGTAACAAATACATCTATGCAAAAGCACTATTACCACAAGGTCTTAGGAAGAGAAAATTATTTTCTACTTTAAAAAAATGTTCTTATTGATTTGAGAAAGAGAAAGAGAAAGAGAAAGGGAGGAAACATTGATTGCCTGCCTCCTGCATTCCTCCTACTGGGAATCGAACCCGCAACCCAAGACAGGATTGGGATGACACTCAACCAACTGATCTACACCAGCCAGGGTCATTTTCTACTTTTAATGTAACTTCCATAGATCCAAGTACAAGGAAGACTACATAGCACTGAATTTTTTAAGTACAGTAAATCCTCAGTTAACATGGATAGGTTCTGTGACTTCAAGCAAAATTAAATTTTATAAATGTTTTGGGGGGAAAGTCTAACAACAAAAAAAAGGGAATTAATTACTCATCTATTACACACTGGTTGGATATAAAGAAAAAATTGTTGGGTACACTAACATTTTAGGTTACTTCTTTAGGTTAACCTCATCAAAAAGGAAATAACATTAGTAAATTAATTGCTCAAATATTTCCTAACTCCTTGGACATACTGCTCCAAAAACAATGGACACATAATGATTAAGACATGATTCCTGTCCTCAAAAAAAAAAAAAGAAAGAAAGAAAAAAAAGGGAAAATTATGCAGTCATGTACACAAATGATTAAAACACAAGTCAAGCCAAAACTGGTTTGGCTCAGTGGCTAGAGCGTCGGCCTGCGGAGTGAGGGGTCCCAGGTTCGATTCTGATCAAGGGCATGTACGTTGGTTGCGGGCACATCCCCAGTAGGGGGTGTGCAAGAGGCAGCTGATCGATGATTCTCTCTCATCGATGTTTCTGACTATCTCTCTCTCTTCCTCTCTGTAAAAAATCAATAAAACATATTTAAAAAAAAAAAACAAAAACAAAAACAAACAAAAGTACACACAAGTCAATATACACCAATGAAGGTAAATAGGAATACAGCTGGAAGATAAGCAGGTAGTCCAAAAAAGGGGAACTAAGCAAACGGAAGGTATACCAAGTGCCAGACACCATGTTAGGCATTGAATATAACTTTTATCATTGAAATACCATAACACTACAAAGATTAAATAGAGCCTTAGATCACACAACTACTAAGTAACAGAACTAGGACAAGTCCAAATCTGACTCTGGGTATGGGAAAGCACAGTGAGAGAGAAGGCTAAGAAACAGATTAAATTTAGACTCTAGGCAGCTGAAAATCCACCAAGAGCCAGAAGTTACGTCTAAGATAACCAATATAAATTCCTCTGCAAAGAGGTGATGGACATTTATATATAAAATAGAACAAGTATAGGAAAGAAAAGAGGGCTGTCAACAGAAAATTGGGAATGCCTGTGGTTAGAAAGTTAAAAGAATCAGAGGAAGTGAGAGAATTTTATAGAGCTAGATTTTTTAAAGGATGCAAATAAACATCAAAATCAAAACATACACAAAAAATCTAAGCACTTGGCATTAGAGATGCTTGCTTATAAGTAATCCTCACCATTACTAAAATAACAACAGAACGTTGTTATATGAGAATACAAAAAAGGGAAGGAAAAGGGTAGTGTATTTAGATCAATGTCAAATATTACAGAAAGGTCTATCTATCTGCTAGAGTAGAAAGCAACTAAGATGATAGTACAGATTTTAGCCTTTAAGAATTTATTCTAATTCACTGCTTTGCAAACCTAGCTAATCACTGCACTGTATGGGAGGCTTTAGGATTCCATAATTAGTTAGTAGGTATGGGGTGACCAATATTTGGTTGGGACACACTGGTTCACTATAATTTGGCATGTGACTGGTAAATCTGGAATCACCAACTATTACTCAAGTATTCTGCAACAAGTTCCTGAATGCTTTGAACTACCACTAAGAACCCCTGACAGAAAGAACTCCACTTCTGCTCAACTCAAGTAATTTTTCATAACATTTGAATAATTTTTTATTTTTCAACTAGATGCCCAGTACACGAAATTGGAGGGGGGGGGGGTGTGCGCATGGGTTCCCCTCAGCCTGGCCTGTGCCCTCAGGAGATGTCCAACTGATGGCTTTGGCCTGCTCCCACCAGCTCTAAGCCCAGCTATGGCTGAGTGGCACTCCCCCTGTGGGAGTGCACTGACCGCCAGGGGGCAGCTCCTGAATTGACCATCTGCCTCCTGGTGGTCAGTGCATGTCATAACAACCAGTAGTTCCACTGTTCGGTTGATTTGTTAGCCTTTTATGATTTTTTTAACAATATTGTTAATTTCAGATGCACAACACAGTGATTAGACATTATATAACACAAAGTGATCACCCCAATAAGTCTAATACCCTGACACCATACATAGCTACTACATTACTGACTATATTCTCTGTGCTGTAGTTTGTATCCACTTGACTATTCCGTAACTACCAATTTGTACTTAATTCCTTCACCTTTTTCACCCAGCTCCCCAATCACCCTCCATCTGGCAACTGTCAAAATGTTCTCTGTATCTAAGTCTGTTTCTGTTCTGCTTGTTTTGATTCCACATAAGTGAAGTCATATGGTACTTGTCTTTCTCCATTTCACTCAGCACAATGCCCTCTAAGTCCCTCCATATTGTTACAGATGGCAAGATTTCATTCTTTTTTATGGCTAATTCTGATGATCAGTTGAATATGGGAACTCCTGGTAATGATAAAGCTCCCAACTCTTAAATTTCTAGGTATTTATTATGGTTTTGTTGAACAACCTTAGGACAGAATTCCCCATTTTTAAAAGGCTATTGCAAAGGTAACAGCCTCGTTCTTAATTTATTAATAAAATCTATATCAACTTTTTAAAATTCATATCAACTTCCTATTACTTGTTGAGTGAAGCATAGACTTCTAAGACCTAAGATAGAATTTATTTCTTAGTATATTAATACATAAAATATAACTTTTTAAAAATATGGGACGCTTCACGAATTTGCGTGTCAACCTTGTGCAGGGGCCATGCTAATCTTCTTTGTATCGTTACAATTTTAGTACATGTGCTGCTGAAGCGAGCACCATAAAATATAATTTTTAAATGTTGTTCCAAAACTAGAAGAGTTTTATAATAGAAAACCCATTATTCCACTGGTTTTACTAAAACCTGAGCCTTTCCTCATACCCCGTTGGGGCAATTGTTCCTTCCTCTCATCGTTTTATCTTTGCCACTCTCAGGATAATTTAATGTTATAGGTTATACATGCAAAGTCAAGGCAGGGAAGGATCTTATTTAAATTTGTATGCCTTGATAAGTGGCATCTAGATCCTCCATAAACATAAGCCAAATAAGTATCTTATCTCCTCTAGAGGTGAATGAGTAAGAAATGCGTTTAATCGCTCACCATGCATAATTCTTCATATGCAAAACACCCCACCTTCAGGTGTTAGTTCTAAGCAACCTATTAAGTATCTTTCTAAAAGTGCTCCGAGGACATACAACTGTAACTACCAGTTACACCAGCTTCTTCAGCCAGACTGTGCTCCTTGCAGGCAGGTACCATGTTGTATTCATCTTTGTATTAACCAGCTACAACCGAAGACTGAGATTAAAAAAACTGGACACATCATAACACTTCTTGTAAGCTGACAAGTTATATGGTTATTCAACACAGTTATCCGAAAAAGAACAGCATGTTTTCTCTTATCAGTGAAAATAAAGCAACTTGACATTTTGCCCACTTTTTGGTCTAGGAAAAGATGTCACCCATAAATTTTGATCCTATGCCCTGTAAGGGTGACTGGAGAGGGAAAAAAAAATAGGGAAAAATCAATGTGCCCAACCTACACCGAGGACACCCGAAAACCATGTTCGAGGTTCGCATCACCTGGTTACATCTGGAAGCCACTGTGCCGTTAAGCTGGGCCACTCCAGAGCATGGGTCATCACCAAATCGTAAAGAAAAGGGGTGTTCTTTTTCCATATTTTGTACTCTTCGTTGATCACGCGTTCTTCTACTGCGTCATCAAAGGCTGCTAAAAAAATTAAAAAGTAAATTTAAATTAGAGAACATAACAGACACCAAGTAAACACTTCTAAAGCTACCGGTTCGGCTCCCGAGCCCTGATACAGAGCAGGTCTGTCCAAATTTCCCCGGTGCGGAGGCACCAGCATCCCCCCACCTCCGCGGGCTGCGACTCCTCCCGCGTCATCCGGCCAGACACTCCGTTAGCCGTTCGGGTAACGGCGCCCGGCCGCGCCCGCACGCTACCCTCCGCCCGAGTCTACGGGACCTGCGCGGAGGCCCGAGCACCGACCCCTGGGCGGAGGGAGCGGTGCAGGGCAGCCCGGGACAGAGGCGTGTGGACCGACGAGACGCGCCAGGAGGGACCTAACGCCCGCCGGGGCCCCACCGCCAGAGGCGCGCCGTCAGCCCGCCCCGCGCGCGGGGCCGCTTCGCCTCCAGCCTCCGATGGGGTGGACCGCGCTCAGCGGAGTCGGGCCTGCTCTCGCCGTTAGGCCGTGGAAAGGCCGCAGCGCCAGTCCGGCCACCCCTCCGCCTTGTGACTCCGGCACCCTCACCTTCCTTGTCGGCCATGGCGTGCAGGAAAGCCAGGGGGATCCCGAGGTCTACCGTTTTGCGGGAGGGGCGGGGAAGCTACGGAACGCTCGCTCCCCGCGCGCGGCCTCTATTGTTTCCTGCTGTCCCTGCGTGAGGTCTGCTTCGCGGACCTTCGCGCCAACACCGGCCAATCGGAGCGCGTCAAGCGGCCGGGGGGGGCGGGCAATCGCGTCCGCAGCCTATCCGGACGCGCGGAGTCGCTCTCCGCGGAGCCAAGGCGCACGCTCCACTCCTACCCTCCCCCCTCCAGGCCGCGAGACGACTTCCTCCGATTGCGCGCGCAGGACTGGTAGGAGCGCGCCACCCCCCCTCCCATCAGGGTCACGTGAGCGGTCTAGTCGGCAGTCTCCCGGGGGCAGCCATTTTCTTAAAGGCTGTTAAAGCTAACGGCCCGTTCAAAGTACTCAGATGAGAAACCGCTGGTTCTTTCCAGTCTGGTAGTTATCATCCGAGGTGCAATAAAAGGCTTCTATTCCTGAGGCCTACAAGTGTCTAATTCAAGTGTCCCTTACTCCGCAGATGCTCCATTTTAGTTGTTTCCTTAGTCCTTAGAACTGTTGATGGCGCAAGCCCAGAAAAAGGGGCCTTGACTTTTTAAAGATGTGCTTCAAAGGAGGAGGCCTAAGTCGGAAGTCTTAGGATAAAGTCCCTGAGAAGTCCTGGCCCTTTAAGGGTGCACGCCAAGGGGCGGGGCCTAAGGCGGAAGTTATAAATCAGGGCTCAAGTCCTCCCGATGGAAGGCGGAAGTGGGCTGTCCGAGGCTGCAGTCATGGCGCAGGAAGAGGAAGACATCCGGGACTACAATTTGAATGAGAAGCAGAAGGCGACCAAGGCCAAGTACCCTCCAGTCAGTCGGAAGTACGAGTGTGAGTACGTGGCCCGCTCCTTCCCTCCGCTCGCCCCTTTTCTTCAGGCGCGATCCCGTTTCGCCCCGTGTTGTTTGCACTTGTTCGGGGGGTCTGAGCCGGGAATCCTGGGCTCCCCCTTTTACAGTCTCCTGAACGTTTTCTACGTATGCTAATCACAGGTACCTTGTGAGAATGCTAGTGTGTTCTAAGGATAATCGTATTTTAAGGCGTGCGCGTGGATCTCTCGCCCCTTGTATATCCCAACACAGGGATGGAGTGTGGCTAGGTTAGAGGACTCCGAGAACTTTTCTTCACAGAACATTTTTTTCTCAAAAGAGTGGCTGAACGACATACTGTTACAGAATTTACCAGGTCACCGGGAAATACCCAGGAGTAGTTAGACGTCCAGGATAAACCCATTTATTTTCAGATGTTTCCCATGTGATAGTACATAACTCAGAGGGTCAGTTCTGCAAATCCTGAGTAAGCCACTCTGGAGGAAGCTTTCCCTTGATACCCTTTGGTTTCTTTGTTTTCTGTTTCCTAACTACCAGGCTTTGTGGTGGGCTCCCACAGCCCCTCCGCGTCAGTCAGCATGGGGAAGTTAGATTGTCAGTGACCTCCCCTGTAGCTAAGCTGTTACTACATTCTTTGTTTGTGGCCCCTTTGTAAATTGGGAGTAAGTAGGAAAGCAGGTCTTGCCAGACCAGATTGTGGAGAAAGGGCCAGTGACTTAATTATAGGCTATCGTGAATGTACATTAGGCACAGATTCAGATTGCTAGGCCCCCCCCCCCATTGTCTTATTTTCCCCATCAATACCATTGCTACTCAGACATGAGTATTTGGGCAGATGTTTTCTTGAAAATAAAGTGATTCATTCCATCAAGGAAAATTACACAATGTTTGTTGGCAATGGTAAAAGTCAAGCATGCAAGTGAAATTAAAATTTGGAAAACTTGTATCTGCCATCATGATCGTTGACAGTTTCCCAGTAGCTACAGACTTTATTCAAGCACGAGGCAGAGTAAGAGTTCATTGTTACAGCCTCAGATTTGACATTGTTAACCAGCCTTTAAAAAACTACCACGTTTGGAGTTTCGTTTATTTTAAAATATTTTTATTGACTTCAGAGGGAGGAAGGGAGAGAGAGAAACATCAAGATGAGAATCATCAGTGGGCTTCCTCCTGCACGCCCCCTACAGGGTGTCCCACAACCCAGCCAGTGCCCTGACCCAGAATTGAACTGTGACCTCCTGATTCATGGGTGGAGACTCAGCCACTGAGTCATACAGGCTGGGCCTTTTCTAGTTTTGATGTAACATTAAGGAGACGACATAGAGTTTTTTGAAAAGCTATTAAAATCTTCCTCCCTTTATTTCTGCATATCTGTGAGGTTGGGTTTTGTGTTCTTCATCTAAATTAGGGGTGTCGAACTCAATCAGAGAAGGGGCCAAAATCTAAAATTCAGCCTAAATCGCTGGCCGAATGGTTTACTGAACAGTCATAAACTGTCATTGTGATGGAAACGCAGCGGAGTGCAGTGATGACAGCGCGGTGCGGGCCACATTGCAAGGCCTGGCGGGACAGATTTGGCCCGCAGGCCTTGTGTTTGACACATGTGATCTAAATCAACACATTGAAAGTCAGTCATTAAAATATTTGCAAAAATGCTAAATAGTGGTACTTTTCTCATTAAGTATTTTGAAAATAGTTTTATTTTTCATAAAATATGCAGTTAACGTTAAATAGAATACACTTGTTTTTTTTATTTTTTGTCACGTAATCCTTCATTGTTAATCAACTCTGTCATACTAGAGGCCCAGCGCATGAAATTTGTGCAGGGGGGAGAGTGGGTGTCTCCCTCAGCCCAGCCTGCACCCTCTTCAATCCAGGACCCCTTGGGGGATGTCCGACTGCAGGTTTCGGCCCAATTCTGACTGGAATTGAACCCAGGATCCTTCAGTCCTAGGGCCAACACTATCCACTGAGCCAAACCTGTAAGGGCCACACTTTTTTATTGCTGAGTAGTACTGCTTTGTATTCCTCAGTTTATTTTATTTGTTCTCTTGACAGACATTGGGTTTTTAATTTGGGGGAATAAAATTGCTATGGATGTTCTCATGTCGTTTTGTGAATACATGCTTCATTTCTCTAGAGTTAATAGTAGTCATTTTCTTTTAACCTGTCATCTTTGCTGGCCATGAGCTCCTTGGTTCCTGAAGCATATCAAGTCCTCAGTAATGTATCTGAGTGAATTAGAGATGAGTTTGAACCTTGAGTGCCAATGGAAGATGGTGCTATGGTTTACACAGCACTAAATTGGAAGTCAGAAAATCTCAATTCTAGTCGCAACTCTGCCCCTCATCAACAGTGTAGTCCTGAAAAAGTCACACAATCTCTAGATTTCAGGGTTTTTGTTGTAAGTGAAGGAATTATATATTAAATGATCTCCAAGACTTCTTCTACCCCAAATATTATGTGATCCTAAGTGGAAAGAACTGATAGAAGTCATAATATGAATGAAGAATAGACTGAAATGTTGAGATAACAGATCCTGTGGGAGCTTGCTATTAGTTCTTTAGCTGTTTATTTAATTCATATTAACAGAATAACGACTGGGCCGAAACCGGTTTGGCTCAGTGGTAGAGCGTCGGTCTGCGGACTGAAAGGTTCCGGGTTCGATTCCAGTCAAGGGCATGTACGTTGGTTGCGGGCACATCCCCGGTGGAGGGTGTGCAGGAGGCGGCTGGTCGATGTTTCTCTCTCATCGACGTTTCTGACTCTATCTCTCTCCCTTCCTCTCTGTAAAAAATCAATAAAATATATTAAAAAAGAATAACGACTGGTAATGCTTAGAAGAAATTTTAAAAATAACCTTTATTAAAGCAATTAACTTTTATGTAAATGGATAGCAAAAGGTGTGATCTGTCCACATTTTCTCTCTCTTCAAGGTTGATGTTCTTAATAATGAATTAGAGTTTCTTTTCTTGTGATTAGCAGTTCAAGTTTAGTTACTTACAAGTGTTTTTCATTCTCTTTCTCAGATTTGGACCATACAGCCGATGTCCAGTGAGTATAGCTGGAGTTAATGCTTTTGGAACCATGTGCTTAAACAAGAAAGCTGATGTTTTGTTTTTAATCCTCACCAAAGGATATTTTTTTCTGTTGATTTCTAGAGAGAGTGGGAGGGAGGGAGAGGACATCAACATGAGGGAGACACGTTGATTGGTTGCCTGCAGTAAGTGCCCCTACTGGGGCTGGAGAATCTGCCACCAAGGGACATGCTGTTGACCGTGACCTTTCAGTCTGCAGGCTGATGCTTGACACTAACCATTGTGCAACTGGCCAGGGCAAGAAGGCTGATGTTTTAATCTTGTTCCCAGTTTTAATTTTTCTCTTGTTTTGGTTACTTTTGAAAGTGAAAATGGTGGTTTACTAGCACCCAGTTTCAGTGCTATTAGTTTGATTTGAAGCCTTTGGTTTTGTATTTTTCATATTGATATTCCTTTGATGTTGCTGTCAGGTTTTCTCTCTTGCAGTGGATTCTGTTACTCAGAGCATGAATGTATTTCTGTAGGTTACATGCGTGGGGAGATACACTGGAGGAAGCTTTCGAGCAGTGCGCCATGGCCATGTTTGGTTACATGACAGATATCGACACAGTGGAGCCCCTTCAAGCAATAGAAGTAGAAACACAAGGTAACCAGTTTATTTACAAGAAAGAAATTTTATACAAGTGTGCGGAATTCTGCATGATTTCGGAATATTTTCACACTGAGGACAATAAATTGATTATGAGCCTGTTCTTCCTTTCTCAGTCTGCCTAAGAAATTCACTGCACTTTTAAATTTGAACAAATGATTGGAGGTGAGAATTATTAAGCAGTGTATTATTATGTTTCTCTTTGATTCTGTGTAGGGGATGATTTGCAGTCTCTTCTGTTTCATTTCTTGGATGAGTGGCTTTATAAGTTCAGTGCTGATGAATTCTTCATACCCCGGGTAAGCAAGGACTTTTCATTTTTACTGAGCAAGTGGATTCTTAGTTCATATTTTAAAATAGAACACGTGATTTAAAGTAGAACTTGTGATGTAAACCATGCCATACGATATGTAATGGTACTGATTTGCAGAGATGATAATGATTATAATGGCCATAGGCTCTTCTTGGTTAACCTGAGTTTGCTGTGTATATGCCATTTGTATGTATGTGTTTATTTATTTATTTATAAGTGTTTTTATTGATTTTTTTTAGAGAGAGAGAAAGGGAGAGAGAGGTAAAAAAAACATCAATTGACTGCCTCTTACAAACCTCCTAATGGGGATCACACCCGCAATCCAGGCATATTCCCTGACTAGGAATCGAACCAGTGACCTCTTCAACCACTGAGTCACACCAGCTGGGAATTTTCGTGCATCGATCCTCTAGTGTGTGAATAAAACATTATCTCCATGAAATATATTTAGTTTATAATTAATTCTATAATAGTTAACGTTTTAATTTCTTTGCATCATAGAAGTATGTTATATGCTGTTTTATCTAGAAGAGGTGATAACCTAGAAGTGTGTTTGGCATATGGTCTCAAATGGTCATTGTAAAACATTAAAATAAATTTTTTTCTTCTCTTTAGGAAGTGAAAGTACTTAGTCTTGATCAAGTAAATTTCAAATTACGGTCAATTGGGTAAGTTTGAAAATTTCACTAGCAAGTCATGAAAGATGTTAAGTTATATTCTTCACTGAACTTACCAGACAGGAAGACAGAAGAGTCAGGGGGCCAGTTGCAACCCAGTAGGATGAGAGCGAAACATTAATCAGCTGCCTCCTGCACATCCCTTCATGGGGATCTAACCTGCAACCCAGGCCTGTGCCCTGACTGCGAATTGAACCAATGACCTTTTATTTATTTATTTTTATTTTTAAAATATATTTTATTGATTTTTCACAGAGAGGAAGGGAGAGAGATAGAGAGCTAGAAACATCGATGAGAGAGAGACATCAACCAGCTGCCTCCTGCACACCCCCCACCGGGGATGTGCCCGCAACCAAGGTACATACCCTTGACCGGAATCAAACCTGGGACCTCTCAGTCTGCAGCCCGACGCTCTATCCACTGAGCTAAACCGGTTTCGGCTGAATCAGTGACCTTTTAGTTTATGGATCGACACTCAACCACTGAGCCACACCACGTGGACTTAACACCTCTTTTTTAGGGTGAGGAAATAGACTTATCCACGGTACTTAGCTAATAATTGGTTGAACAGAGTTTTAAAACTTACTCTTTCTACTGCTGCTGCTGCTTCTGTTACTTTGACCTTCAGCATTAGTGTGGAAGGGAGAGAGAATGCTTCTGGCCAAGTTCTAGGAGAGGAAATTCCTTTGTAGGGCCTTCTAGCTACAGACCATGGGTATTTTTTAAAAATTATAAAATGCAAACCAAATTCAGATTGTTTTATAGAATCTGTTATCTTTATTTTGCCTTCCCAAAGGGGAGGTGATATTTAATTAGTTTTTAGCCTTGAGTATAGTGACAATTTTGGATTAACTACAGAGTGTTTGTTGAGAGACACCTATGTACACTATACGAGGGCGCCTTTTTTTAGTTTAGTCATAAACTTTCTTGAAATGGCTATTGCACATAGTCCCTCAGTAGCTGTATCTGCTAGTAATCAAACAAATCTATACTCCTTACATCTCTTGGCTTTCTGGTATCTTAACTATATTTGTAAGGATTGTTTTAAAATATGTAAAGAGAACAAATATTAAATTTGGATAACTTTAATCATGTTTTAATTTTCCTTTTCAAGGTGGGGAGAAGAATTCTCATTGTCCAAGCATCCTCAGGTATGTTTCTAACCTAGCCACTAAAACATTTTATACTTTCTAGCCATAAAATTTGGCGTATGTGATAGTAAACTTCAATGAATTCTGATAAATTGGTGTAAAGTGATGTTTTTCTCAGCTGTCTTTGACCTATCTGGACATGTTATGTTAAACCACTGGTTTCACACATCTGATTTGATGGATTTAGAGTTAGCGTAGGGGTGTCGAACTCAATCAGAGAAGGGGCCAAAATCTAAAATCCAGCCTAAATTGCGGGCCGAATGGTTTACTGAACAGTCATAAACTGTCATTGTGATAGAAATGCAGCGGAGTGCAGTGATGACAGCGCGGTGCGGGCCACATTGCAAGGCCTGGCGGGACAGATTTGGCCCGCGGGCCTTGTGTTTGACACATGTGACTGCCCTGGCCAGTGAAGCTTAGTGGTTAGAGTGTTGGCCCATACCAAAGGTCTCGAGTTCAGTTCCTGGTCAAGGGCACATGTCGGGCTGTGCAGGAGGCAACCAATTGCTATATCTCTCATGCCAATGTTTCTTCCTTCCTCCTTTTCCTCCTTCTCTTCCTTCCCTCCCTCACTCCCACTCTCTAAAAATCAATGGAAAAAATATCTTCAGCCGGAACTGGTTTGGCTCAGTGGTAGAGCATTGGTCTGAGGACTGAAGGGTCCCGGGTTCGATCTGGTCAGGGGCATGTACATTGGTTGCGGGCACATCCCCGGTGGGGGGTGTATAAGAGGCAGCTGGTCAATGTTTCTCTCTCATTGACGTTTCTAGCTCTTATCTCTCTCCCTTCCTCTCTGTAAAATATCAATAAAATATATTATTTTAAAAAAAAAAGGAAAGAATATCTTCAGATGAGTATTAACCAAAAAAAAAAAAGAGAGAGAAAGAGAGTCAGCACTTGGGTTCTCGGGGCAGGTTTGCTACTGATTATTAGTTACTTAAAACTTTTAGGTCCCACTCGGCCAGTGAGCTCAGTGGTTAGAGCATCTGCCTGTGCACTGAAGGATCATAGGTTCCATTCCCAGTTGAGGGCACATACCTGGGTTGCAGGTTTGACCCCCAGCGCTGGTTGAGGCACTTCAGGAGGCAACCAATCGATGTGTCTTTCTCACATCGATGTTTTTCTCTCTTTCCTATCCTTTCCCTCTTCCACACCCTCTAAAATCAATAGAAAAAATATCTTTGGGTGAGGATTAACAAATAAACCAAAAAAAGTAAGTTCCTTTGCCTTTTCAAGCTTTGATTTCTTCCTCTGTAAAGGTTTTGGCTGAAACCGGATTGGCTCGGTGGTAGAGCAATGGTCTGCAGGCTGAAAGGTCCCAGGTTTGATTCCGGTCAGGGGCATGTGCCTTGGTTGCGGGCACATCCCCAGTGTGGGGTGTGTAGGAGGCAGCTGGTCAATGTTTCTGACTATCCCTCTCCCTTCCTCTCTGTTAAAAATCAGTAAAATATATTTTAAAAAGAAGAAGAAGAAGAAGGTGGCTTTGGACTAGATGTTCTCTAAAGGACTTTCTACCTCTGCTTCTCTAGATTCTGTATTTGCCAATCTGAGTGGCTTCACTCTGTATTAGTCTATTGGAATAGGGCAGGCAAAATTTTCCTGTAAAGGGCCAGATTTTATTTTATTTTATTTTTTTATTAAATTATTATCTGTACGTATTTTACCATTGCCCCCCCCCCATACATATCCACCCTCCCCAGTGTTTTGTGTCCATTGGTTGTACTTATATGCATGTATACAAGTCCTTCGGTTGATCTCTTTATCTCCCCCAGATCTCCCTCTCCTCCCCGCTGTAATTCGACAATCTGCTTGTTGCTTTACTGTCTCTATATCTATCTTTTGGTTCATCAGTTTATAATGTTCTTTATTATCCATAAATGAGTGAGGTCATGTGGTGTTTCTCTTTTATTGACTGGCTTATTTCACTCAGTATGATGTTCTCCAATTCCATCCAGGTTGCTGCAAATGGTGAGAATTCCTTCTTTTTTATGGCAGCATAGTATTCCATTGTGTAGATATATCATAGTTTTTTAATCCAATCATCTGTTGACGGGCACCTAGGCTGTTTCCAAATCCTAGCTATTGTAGATTGTGCTGTTATGAACATAGGGGGGCATATATCCTTTCTGATCAGTGTTTCTAGTTTCTTGGGATATATTCCTAGGAGTGGGATTACTGGGTCAAATGGGAGTTCCATTTTCAGTTTTTTGAGGAAACTCCACACTGTTCTCCACAGTGGTTGTACCAGTCTGCATTCCCACCAGCAGTGCACGAGGGTTCCTTTTTCTCCGCAACCTCGCCAACACTTGTCGTTTGATATTTTTTTTAACCATTTTTTAAATTATTATTTGTGTACATATTTTAACATTCCCCCCCTCCCATACATACCCTCCCTCCCCTATTGATTTGTTGATGTTGGCCATTCTGACAGGTGTGAGATGGTATCTCATTGTTGTTTTGAAGCTTTGTGGGCGAGAACATTGGAAGAACCACTCTTCACCTCTTCTATTTACTTACTTACTTACTTACTTACTTACTTATTATCATGCTAGAGAGGGAGAGAATGATTTCAGAGCAAAGACCTTAACTTGGTAAGGGCGGGAGTGGGGGAGTATGGATAGTGTTGAAGTGAAGTTGGCCTCCTAATAGGAGCAGGGACTGGCCATTGTAACAGGAGGGAAGGCTGGTGGCAGTACAGACACAGTGGGGTGGTAGTTTTGATGTGTGGAAGATGAGTCAGTTCTTATTGATTGCTCTTGTTTTCTCTAGAAAGCATAATTGAGAGAGAATGAGAATAAAGGAGGGAAGCTAGAGGTGAAGAATGTGAAATTTCAGTTCCTTCAGAGTGAGAAAGTAGGATTACTGGTCAGTGCCGAGTAACCTTTTGAGAATTGTGGACAGACTTTAAAGGTGATAGATACCATTCAGCATGGTGGATGCTGCCACAGGCAGAAAGTTGAATTTGATTGAGGTGGTTGTTTCCTGAGGGGATTATGGCAGAGTGGGTGGGGAAAGCAGAGGTCCGGGTGCCACTCAAATCTATTGGAATCTTCAAATTTCTTTGGTGCCATAGAGCTAGCAAATGCCAGTTCCCTATTCTCTGATATATTGATGATGCACAGAGTTATTGTAGAGGGCCCTGGCCCGGTAGCTCAGTTGATTAGAACATCGTACTGATATGATCAGGGCACATATAACAATCAACCAATGAATGCATAAATGAGTGAAATAACCATTGACATTTCTCTCTCTCAAAAATCAATAAATAAAAAAATGTTCAAAAATACTTTTTCTTTTTTAAAGAATTATTGTAGAAGGAACTAAGAGAATATCAAATCCTGTGGCTCTAAACTGGGGCAGGTGTTGTCATGTATCAGAAACATGTGGAGAGAGAAGGACCCTACCAGGTAGAGTGAGTATTGGCGTCTGAGAAGAGAATACACTAAGTTCCATGTTAGGTTGCAAGGAGGAGTTCTGAGGAGCTCTGAGCCAACAGTAGGAAGACTTGTTGTTTGATTCAACCAATTTGATAAATAAAAAAAGCTGATGCCCAGAGAGGTCAGACAGCTTCCATATCCAGGTGGAAACAAAGCCAGGATTCGGGTTCCATCTCTTAACCCCAGTTCAGTGCTCTGTCTGCTGTGTATTTGTTCTTTTTATTGGATCAATGTATAATGTTAAACCAACCTGATAATTACTGTTTTTACTTTTCCATAATAAAATTATTACTTTCTGCCAACTGTTGTTAGAATTAATGATTCTGATTTGTCCTTTGTTTCTTATTTTTTTTCTCTCTAACCCCAACTTTAGGGAACTGAAGTCAAGGCAATAACATATTCAGCCATGCAGGTCTATACTGAAGAGAAGCCAGAAGTGTTTGTGATCATTGACATCTAAGACAAAGAAAAAAACTTCTATGAAGAACTGTTTTTCTCTCTTCCTTTTGAGAAGATACCATAATATAAATTCTACAGTCTCTGACAATGGTTTGGGTTTGCAGAACAGAAATTTTTGACTTAAAGTATGATTTTCCCACAAATGGAAAATCAAGGCATAGTCTTGTTCTGTACTAATTAGATATTCAAATGTTATAGAATTCTTCAGGTGGCAAGTATGGTTCCTTATTTATTAATTCCTTCAGTGGCAGGAGGAGCCTCACCCTTCCAGTGGCATGCCAGCCCTCCAGCCTGGTTCCAAAAGGGATCACTGATGTAACATCAGCCTGAGAGACTCAAGCCTCACACTCTTATCGAATCCACTTTGGGATAAAAAATGATAATTTTACAATCGAGATTTTGCTTTCCCTTCAAATTGGTTAAGACATATATTTTCTTTATATTAAGAGGTTGTATTTTAAATTGCTATAGGACAGCCATCTGTATTCCAGTTGGATATCTTATAAGAAATAATTATAATTGAACAATTGGGAGGCTTCCCTAGAAAGCACTGATTTTTTATCTCACTTTTTTTTAAACACTGATATACTGACATTTTCTTGTTTTTCCACAAGAAAAATTTAATGCCCTTAAAAATGGGCCCTTCTATCATGTAATTTTATATTAAAGCCAGTATATTTATATAGTTGGAGAAGAATGGGAGAATTTAAAAAATTTTTGTTGTTGCTTTTGAAAATTATTTAAGCTCTTCATTTCTGAGAAGACAGGAGGCCAGGAAAACAACTTTAAAGTTGTCTGAACTTTTGTTTGGCCAAGGTGGCTCAGTGGTTGAGCTTCAGCCTATGAACCAGGAGGTCAGAGTTCAATACCAATGAGAGCACATGCCCGGGCTGCCTGCTAAGTCCCCAGTAGGGGGTGTGCAGAAGGCAGCAAACCAGTGATTCTCATCATTGATTCTTCTATCTACCTCTTCCTCTCTGAAATCAATAAAAGTATATTTAAAATGTAAAATAAAATTATCTGGACTTCTCAAAGTAGATAACTTCTAAAAAGTAGAACTGCTTTGGTTTTATTTGCAACACTATTCTGTTAATTGAGGTATTCTTTCCTGTGATACAAGAGTTTGCAAAGTTGCCGAAACCGGTTTGGCTCAGTGGATAGAGCGTCAGCCTGCGGACTAAAAGGTCCCGGGTTCGATTCCGGTCAAGGGCATGTACCTTGGCTGCGGGCATGTCTCCAGTGGGGGGTGTGCAAGAGGCAGCTGATCGATGATTCTCTCTCATCGATGTTTCTAACTCTATCCCTCTCTCTTCCTCTCTGTAAAAAATCAATAAAACATTTTTAAAAAATTTCTTGCAAAGTTGCTATTTATTCACACTTACATGAGAAAAGATATTTGCGCGGTGCCATATATCATTATAGTAGATTGAACTTGACCTAAGAGGAAGAGATTGTGAGTTTTCTAAGTGTGCTCTCTGAGCACCGCATTATTTCCCTGGGTATTGGAAGGCTAAGCAAGCTCTTCAAATTAATATCTAGCAGTCACTGGGGTAGTGCTTCTTAACCTTTAAACACATTTTTCAAATTTGGATTGAGGATCTCTAAGCAAAAAATAATGTCTGGAATCTATCTTTGTTAGAGTTTCCAGACTGGGATGGAGGTTTTGTTTTTTTTCCATGGAGCCCTTTGCACATCCTGGCTACTTGGGTTGATTGTGAAAATGAATAAGGGGAGACCATGAGGCAGTGGGAGAGCCACATCTAGAGCAAGGCCTCTTGGGATGTAGAAAGCCAAGTAGGCTACAAACTTGAGTAGGAGAAAAAGCACAGTCATTTCTCTTTCCACAGTGCTAGATAATGGGATTCAGTAAAGAGGTGTAATTTTGCTATATAAATTATATATTTTAATGTATAATAGTAATAATTCATTACTACTTCAAAAATTAGTTTGTTTTAAAATATGCCAAAATGGCCGAAGCCGGTTTGGCTCAGTGGTAGAGCGTCGGTCTGCAGACTGAAAGGTCCCAGGTTCGATTCCGGTCAAGGGCATGTACATTGGTTGCGGGCACATCCCCGGGAGGGGGTGTGCAAGAGGCAACTGGTCGATGTTTCTCTCATCGACGTTTCTAGCTCTCTATCTCTCTCCCTTCCTCTCTGTAAAAAATCAATTAAAAAAAATATATATATATATTTAAAATATGCCAAAATGAAGATGCTGTATAGAAGGAAAATGAATGTTACCCTTTACATGTGAAGTTCGGTTCCTCCCCACACCACATACTTTTTTTTCAGATACACTCTTTAAAATTACTATTTTATCAAACTATAGTTGGCATACAAGTAACCCCAACTTTCCTAGGGCAATTAAGAATCATCCTGCCCTGATCAGTTTGGCTCAGTGGATAGAGCCTGCAAACTCAAGGGTCCCAGGTTCGATTCCGGTCAAGGGCATGTACAGCAGGAGGCAGCTGATCGATGTTTCTATCTCATCGGTATTTCTGACTCTTAATTTTTCCCTCCCTCTCTGTAAGAAATTAGTAAAATATATATATTTTTAAAAAGAATCATCTTGTAAATTAAGAGGAAGGGAGTCATCTTGGACTGATACTTGGAACTGGAATTTAAACACCAATGTGCTGATGTTTTTATTTTAGGGTTGTAGTGATTAATAGCATAAACGAGCCAGATCATGGGTTCAAGGCCTGGCTCTACCATTTTAATAACTCCTTAACCCCTTTTCCTTAATTTGGGCATGTTGCTTAAACTCACTTTAAGTAGTGATAATAGTACTTGCAGGGTTGAGAGGGTTAAATAAATGTACTCACACAAAGCTCTTATGACAGTGCCTATGTGTAAATGCTCAGTCAACTCGGGCTAGTCTTCATTACTGTTACTGAGGCAAGCATAAATGCCGACAGCCCCCTTTTTCTCCTTAATTTTAAAGCTCTTTTAGGGGGTGTGGCCAGTGCCATTCTTGGTCCCCCTTTATTTAGAAGGGCAAACAGCTACTCCCTCTTCTCTACTCCTAGACTCCTGTGTTAACCAAGTTTTCTTTCTAACATTCAAGTTGAGCATCTACTTTCAAAAGCTCTGCCCATCCCCTTATGCCAAACCGATTGCCCGTCTATTTATTGTCCCTGATTCCATGTAACCCATGGTATGAAACACTCAGGGGCTGTATCAGATTGAGAAAAAATATGAACAAATTATTGGCCAGCTTTGTTTCTGCCTTTGTCATTGCCCCCATCACCTCTCCTGATCCCTACCAGGGCAGCCCACCCACAGGCACCACAAAGATCATGTAACTCCTTGGTTCCTACCTTTGAATTTTTGCTCAGATTCTTTCTCATTTTTACAACAACTTGGATATAGCCGGGAACGGTTTGGCTCAATGGGTAGAGCGTCGGCTTGGGGACTGAAGGGTCCCGGGTTCGATTCCAGTCAAGGGCATGTACCTTGGTTGCGGGCATATCCCCAGTAGGGGGTGTGCAAGAGGCAGCTGATCGATGACTCTCTCATCGATGTTTCTAACTCTCTATCTCTCTCCCTTCCTCTCTGTATAAAATCAATAAAATATATTTTAAAAAAAAACTTGGATATAATTCACATACCATATGATTATCCCATTTAAAGTACAAATTGGTGGGTTTTAGTATATATAATATAACCATCACCACAATCCATCTTAGAACATTTTTTTCTTCTAAAAAGAAGCCCACTATCAGCAGTCATCTCTCCCATCCCTCCAAACTCGGGGCAACCACTTGTCTACTGTCCTACCCAGATTCTCACCGGTGATCTTGTCCTTTTGCAACGTAACTGGAAACTCACTTCTTGGAAGCTATTTGGACTTATCCCACTTACTATACCGGATCCTCTCTGTGAAATACTTAGAATTTTAAGTTTATGGATACATTGCTGCACAAGATTTCTCAGTGAGTACATGTTACACTCACAACGTTTAAGTAGCAAGCACCTTAAACAGAAAAGGTACAGGCTTCTGGTTATTTTATGTACCATCTTTGAATCTTCCCTTGCTTTGTCTGTGGTTTATTGCTTATTAACATATTTGACTTTTTGTTGGTATGAATACAAGTTCTGTAGGGAGACGACGGACATGTTAGAAAATGAAGTTTTCCATTTTTCTTAGTATATTTGTGGCTTCATTTGTATGAATAAACTCCTGTATCAAAATAAGATATTAATTATAATTTTACATAAGATATAAAGAAGCTGGCTAAACAGTATCATTTATGGGATACCCTGAATTTCATCATTAAAACTCTTGTAAGTGTCCTCCCCAGATGATTGGAGCAGCGTTCCGATACACCAAGGTTTCGGGTTCAATCCCCAACCAGGGCACATACAAGAATTAACCAGTGAATGCATAAATAAGTAGAAAAACAAATAAGTATTTCTTCCCTTCACCTCTCAATAAATAAATTAAAAAGACTCTTGTAGCTACAGTCACATAATTTACATAATATTTATTCCGTATAGAATTTATCCACATACAATGATGTCAGCTTTAAAACAACTGGCTATTTGTATAAAGTCATTTTATAAAATAGAGTAATGAAAAACACATCTCTGAATTAAGCTGATATTCCGGAATTCAAAAAATTGGATCATTCTAGTTCCTGTTTTTGCCTGTTTCACTGGTTGCTTAATTTCTGTGCCTTAACTTCTTTAACCTTTCATGTCAGATAACTGTCCTACTTTCATAGATATGTAAAGAATAACAAAAATTATTAAATACTTTGCAAATATAAAATGCTATATAAATGATAAATAGTAATACTGATTCACTCTAATATAAAATAACAGAACTTTCCATTTATAATCTAAATTTTGGTCCTCCAGTACCTATTATTATCACCCTTCCCAGTTAAATACATCTACTTAATGCTGTACTGTTTTAGTGATTTTCCACAGCATTAATTTGAGAACTCAAAAAATATATATATATATACTATGAATGGAAATGTCAAAATATCTTAGCGTGACTTGATAAAATAATGAATTGAGTTCTGTATAATAAGGATGATTTGCTGCTATAAGAGAACCTCTGGCTGCCAGCATATAAGAGCAGTGAGTAATAGGAGTAATAAAGTGAAACTAAAGCCTAAAGAGAAATGCAGAGTTATCTAGCTCCACGGTTTTCAATACTGTACTCCTGAGCTCTAGCAAGGTGCCCAGGGAAAGGCATGTAGGAG